GTCGTTTTAGTCGGACGTTGTCGGACTCTACTAAACGACCATCATTGTTTTTTCATCAATGAGGTCACCATTCAACGATTGTGAAAGAATTAGGCAATTTGATGACGTTAGTATGATGGACGTTTACTGAATTCACCACGAAGCGTAAAAGGTTTCGAAGTTGATCATTTGGAGATGTGGCATGTATTCGACTCCATTTGAAGCATCGTAGAGGTGATTATATGCATATCTGGCCTACAACTTACACTGATCCATCTGTACATTAAGCTAGTGTCATTTTATCCACTCAAACAATTTTGGCACAAATTTGCTCACCGTAGATGGTGGAACGCTTTATTTGACTGGGATCGCAGGATCGAACCAAAGGCCGTGTATGTATTGCATGACATCATTACCCACTGTGCTTCACGTGTTGAGATTGATTTCATCCATGGTGATTTTAGTATTTTTTAGAATTAGCTTAACTAATGGATCAAAAGATTTGTGCTGCGCTCCAAATCCATCTATACTGCCCGTTGCTCACCGAATCGATTAGTGGTTTTTTTCCTACGCGCTCATAGAAAATGCACTTACTTCTCCATTGCTGCTAGACCTACCGCACGCGCACTGAATTCATATGGTGATAAATAGAAGATAACGCTTCAAGGCATCTTATCGGAGTTAGGTCTGTGGGTTTCGATTTATTTCGTCCTAGTGTACAGTCAAAGGCGGTCTCATCAAGATGTCGAAGCCTCAGTTAGTATATAGTTTATAACTTTTTTTCGAGGTTTTTCACTCCCGTTAATGATGCCGGATGCGCTACATTTTGCAGCTTTTTCTCACTGAGCCAAAGAAGTGAGAAAACAGATATTAACAAATCATAATAAAGAGACGTAAGATCGACCTTAATTTTATTTCGGACAGATTAACAGATAGAAATGAAAATAAAAATAATGGATTTAAAACTAAATAAGGAAGCGAACAAGCTAGGCTAACTTTGCAATGAATCGAAATGTAGGCGAAAACACAGAACAAGGGAAGCGGCAATCCACGTTGGGAGTACACAACGGACCGTAAGCCTTAAATTCAATGAACACTTTGCGCGTGGAGCAGTTTAGCGTAGTTCCATGCGTCCGTCACATGACAAAAAAAATGCAAAGCTATTCGCCAAAAAGTTGAAATTCTTCACCTTGTCCACTACTGGTATACCTATATAATTCCATCAAAAGCAAAGAGACACTAAATGATACCGTTTTGACAATTTCGTATCACAACGACTTTCACCACTGCTTTAGATTGCAGAAAATTTGAAGTAGGAAAGTAAAGTACTTTCGTATTCTAAGTCAGCTGATTCTTGACTATGAGAGAAATGCGTTTCAAATAGTCTGTAATGTGCTAATGTGCCGCATTTGGTAACAATAATTAGTTCTTTCCAAAATAGCTGAGCATATGGAGGAAAAGGTTAGGTTGAAAAAGAATACGGAAGAAAGCCGATATAGTCAGCGAACTACGCGATAAAAATGAACTCATATCACTGGTGTTTTTAATGTTTTCTTAGAAAGGCGGTTTTTTTTTTGTAAACAAGAACGGATGGAGCTTTCGACGTTGACCAATTCCTAAGGAATCCGCCGTGTGTTCGACTTCATCAAGAATCATTGCAGGTGACTGAATGCATATCTGGCCTATACAATGATTCTCGGTGGCCTACCGGTGTATTGAGTCTGTGCTCCTATCCTCGCAGACAAGTCTGGTACCAATTTCTTGGCTTCGAAGTAATTGAAGGTTTGGTGAAGCCTGTAGGCAAGACCGAGCCAAATGCCCTGTTTCAATTACGGGCCACCTATAACCTATGACCACTGCAGAACACACGGCCACGGTTTGTTTAACAAAGACTGCGTTGTGGAAAGTGGTAATAAATTGGCGACAACCGAAGATAATGATGAAAAATTTGTTATTTTGAAGATCCATGACATAAGACATCAAAAAGGGTATGCATATTAGAAGATCTCAACGTTGTTCAATTACGAACTTTTATCTGAAAATCAGTTAAGAATATGCTCGTATTCCAGTTGTATTCTAGTTGAGATGTACAGCTCACTTTCTGTCGTCTAATTTACTGACTACAAACATCATCTAAAAGAGCGAAATTTTGTATTTCATTAATCGATAGGTCACTAAAGACAGAAATGTTTCGTTAAGAGATTGTAAACTGGCTCACTGCATCCCAAAGTGGCGTTTGTGTGAAAAAGCACTCAGCTACCAGTCTATGAAGGAAATTAGTGTAGAGCACTGGTTAGAGGACCCATGGAACTCACAGTGGGTCACCAATTCAATGTCACGTTCAGGGGCAATCTAAAATTTTATCTTTCCGGAGTTGGAAAATTGGTGACAAACTTTTCTGAACGGCTACCATAGTAACTTAATACAAACGTAGGCCACTGTATCTCCCACTACGCATTCAGTCAACGAATGTTTTTCTATTAATCGTTATTCGTATCAGCATACCACGAAATCAATTCAATGATTAGCAAGAACTCAAAGAATAATGCAGATCCCAGTAGGAAATCCGACCAACAGTGGCTAAGATGCAGTCCATCAAGAAGCAAGTCGCTGGCTTGACCTCACCACAGCGTTCGCCTCCATTCCAATTGGTAACGCATTAGCTCGGCTGTCTCCAAGATTTCAAGGAGAATCGACTCGGCCAGCTTTCTACGATATTCATAAGGAAGATAAAATCTATTTATTTATATGATCTTATAAACTGATCTTCTTAAGCTGATGCGAGGTCTTCGTTGTCGTTGTCGTTGTTTTTGATGTTGTTGGTCGATGGCTGACGTTTCGGCGACTTCGCCTCCTCAAAGCCTGGACGTATTTAATATTAGAATGTTTTTATTATTCGGTGGAAAAGAAAGGTTAAAGTGTTAATGAAGATCAAACTTTCAATTAGACGCCATATTGAACAGAAAGACCACTCACCGTGATGTTAAGTGCGGGACTGGCCCACGCGTTGTTTTCGTGGAGTCGCGAGCAAGACACGACGGGGTCAAAATATCATTTTGAAATAGGGCGCCAGGTCACGCGTGATAGTGAGGCATTCGTCTTTTCGGTTAATGTTTGGATTTTTGAAATTTATCCAAAACGCCTCAAGAGTCTTGCGCGTTGATGTTTTTGATTCCTGCGCTAGGATCCGCACATTCACTTCAAAATCATCGCCGTTGTGCTTTTGTGCCCTATGCGTACCTAGAGGGGTGTTTAAACGGATTTTAGCTTTCCCATCTAGATGTTCTTTTATGCAGACACAAAGTGGTCTACCCGTTTCCACGATATATTCCTCGCCGCATGCATTACATGAGATCAAGTATATTATACCTAAACTCATGCAATCGCCGTTTCTCCCGTTAGGACAGATCATACAGTTTTCTGAGCTGCACAAACGACAATAGAGACGGTTTCGAACTAAGTGGCGGCTTAGGGTATTGGGTGGGATGTCAATAATCGTTACATAGTTTTCAAGACCACTTTTTCTTAAGCACTTTTTAATGGCGTGACTTACTTCATTTTCACGGTGAGTGCCCTTTCTGTTCAATATGGCATCTGTTTGAGAGTTTTATCTTCATTAACACTTTAACCCTTCTTTTCACCGAATAATAAAAATATTCTAATATAAAATACGTCCAGGCTCTGAGAAAGGCGAAGTCGCCGAAACGTCAGCCATGGACCAACAACATCAAAAACAACAACAACGACAACGAAGATCTGTACCAACCTCGCGTCACCTTAAGAAGATCGGTTTGTAAGATCACATAAATAAATATATCAACTATCTATGCTGAGGTTTACAGAAAGTCGGTCTTTCGAAGATAAAGTCTTTAGGACGCAGCCGAAACTACACGCGAAATGTTCGAAGACCTTTGTGGGTGGTAAATTTGGAGAAAAACGAATCGAATTCAACAAGTGCTGTTACCAGCGCGGTAGATTTGATGAAAGATCATGTAAACTAAAAAAAAATAGTGTAGTTTGGCCAACTGAATTGTTTTCAGTAGTTTTCAGAAGTGAGAATCTGAAACCAACCCATTATCTTCCGAATTTCGCCAGGAAAACGAAGCCGATAAATTTGCGACGGATTGGCTTCGGTATCAAAAAAGATCCGTACACTTCAATGTCAGTTTTTATATAACGCATATTTCTATATTGCAATCAGTATAAAAGCAGTAGATTACTGAAAATCTGCAAAACATAAACGATAAGTGATAGCTTCCTTCATTTACCTAATGAATTGACATCGCTTTACTTATACGGGTAGCCGCGACCACAGCTGCACCTCTACCGTGGTAGGATCTCGATCCGATCAGTCGTGAGACAACATGGTGCGCTCCAATTGGATGTTTGAATTCAAAACTCGCAGCAGAAGCAACCATGTGGTTTTCTTAGAATGCATGTGGATTAAAGTGATATGGTGCGTTTATTGCCTCTCCTCTAGATTCGGCTTCAAACGTAAAAAAAAGAATCGAGAATTAAGACGGTTCGCCATGGCCTCCGATAAATAAGATCCCACTCTGGTGAATAACTTTGAGCATTTCATGCTCACGCAGTAGAATTCGGAAAGCTACCCATGTTAATGCTCTTCGATGAACACATTGAAAATGAACAGCTTCTTAGCAAAAGTCTGATGTTGTTTCCATATTTTAAAGCAGCGGCCCTGCTGAGCAGTTACGGAACGTGAGCAAGGTGTCATAGTTCCAATGTGGGATCATTACTGTTCGTACGTAGCTGAGTAAGTACATGTAGGAAGACATCTGAAATAACGCCAAATAAAAGAAAAAGAGAGGCATAAACCGATCTGAAGAAGAAGGTATCAGTGAACAGACTTACTCAGATTTCTGACTAACTTGAGCCCAAACAACACAAAATGCATTTGATGTTTTATGCTTGTTGGCACATCGCATAAAAATAGACAGATGAAGGACCAATACAGAAAGTTCTTAGAATAGCATAGTGTCGTCGTAAATGGCGTCAATAAAATGAACAGTTTTTTCACCATCGGAGAAGTAGAAGGGAAAGAAGAGGAAGATGTGGACCGAGTTTTTATGGAAATTCTTCACGTCATTGTTTTACTTGGTTATCAAGTTTTACAATCACTCATGATTATTTTTGTTCGTGTTCAAGGTTATCTCCTCAACTTCCAGTGAGTAATTTGACCATCCTCATAAGTACGAATTAAAATATTTTAAACGTGGTTCCATGACACCTCTTCTCGGATCGCCAATGAATTCAGATTTTAACGTGGTGTTAACTTTAAACGAAAAACGAGTACACTTACTCGAATTGTCCACTTCAGTGAAAAAGAATCGTACACATCGCATTATAGTGTCTGCCCAACTGGCATATTTTTGTCTTGGCAAAACATCCATGGAGCCCCATGAAGCTAACGGCATAGCAATGGATTGTCGTCAGCTCGGATGCAACGGCCTGTTCTTATAAATAGGATGGGTGATTAAGTTTCTTGCTGCCTAGTTACCATTCTTAGTGATTTTCCGTTGTATTGGACTTTTGAATAACGATGCCGAAATGCTCAGACTCGATGTAAAGTATACCTAGCATTTTCCCCATATTTATTTTGCGAAACTGATCCATAATATTGTTATAAGTATTTAAGTTAGTTGATGGATAGCAGCCGCACAGAGTAATACAAGGGCAATCTGATCCATATCTTCGCGAAAGATCAGATAGAGATGAGAATACGGAACGCCGATTTTACCAAGAACAAAGAAAATGGTAATTTCGCTCACAAAAGTGGTAGCCGTTCGTGTTGTTGCTTTGGTATTCTCGCTGAACTCCTAAAAATACTAACATTTCGTCATCAGATGGCCTCGGAAAGTGTCTAGTTCTAGAAATGTGCCATTTCAGAATCACCTTCCACTATGCGGTAGCATGGACGGATGTAGACGACAAATTGGTGCATCGTTATCAAAAACTGGAACAAAAGCTCCGTAGTAAAGTGGAAACGAATGACCGACCGAAAAACCGTGAGTTTCGTGTCCCCCGGTGGTGAATTAAATAATTCACATCGAATAAAGGAAGAAACAGGCGCGGACTGTTCCGTAGGACATCAAGGCCATTCTCATTCAATCGTTTATGTGCAACGGTATATAAAACTGCAAAATAAAAGTGAGCCAGAAAACCACATATGTAATGCCGTCTTTTTGCAGTGGATCAGTTGGATTTATCCACGCTTTCTTGTTTTCACTGGTTTCTAACAAATGAACAGTATTACTTCTAACGTTAACATTGTAAACACGAACAAGACCTGACGAAGATGAAAAGCCACTGGGGACTTAAGTTGAAAGGAATTTCCAGAGCATTTTTTAAGCCATTTAGAAAGCGAAATTAGAATTCGAGGAAGGTTTTGTAAACATGGTTTGAATTTATATCTAACCAGAAAACGATGCCAAACAGTTGAAAGTACTTTTACTCAACAACAGAATATATTGTCGTATCCTTGGATGTGTAATGAAGGCCTGAGAAGCAAGCACGTAAAGCGCATTTTCCGAGGTGCATTACATAAGAAGTACCGTAATTTACTGCCTCAATTGACAGTAATGATTAATGAAAAATTATACGAAAATGATCAGCTACATTTCGACGTTGCTCCCAACACAGAGCAGGAGAAACGCCAATAGAACAATTTTTATTGATTCTGCCATTGTATTATACTGTGCCATGTAAATTGCAATAACATTTCTGAAAGGAAATATGGAAATATCGAAGTTAATCCGCAACCGATGCGAAATTAGAGGATGTGGTACAAAATAGACGGAGGCAGGTAAAAGAAGCGTTATTTTTGTGTACATACCTTTTATTGTGTCCTTCGCACAACATGGTACAACCATGATCTCTGAAGATACATATATATACATATATATATGTATATATGAAGGCGCGTGTAGCGCAGTGGTTAAAGCCGCTCTACAATACAATTGGGATCGATCCTGCTTACTAGACTCACTAAGCCCACATCGCTTCGAGGTCGGCAGATTGGCACAAACTTGTCTGGGAGGATAGCAGCACTGACTCGATGCATCGGTGGATTACCTCGAGTCACTCACTGTATTAGTCACATATGCATTTAAGCACCTCTAAGGATGCCTAATGAATGCATGGCGCATCCCTCAGGACCGACCAACGCTGGGAGGTTCATCCTTCATATACATATATATATATATATTTATATATATATATGTATATGTACACAAGTTACTTGATTACTTGCATGGGCCATTTTCACTGGTTGCGCAGGCCCCACCATAACTTCTACTTTTTCGGAGTTTTCCTGGTGTTTAGCCAGTATAGTTTCCCGGAGAAACGAGGCCACCGTAGCCAAAGTCTGCCTCAGGAACAAGTAATATATATATATAAAGAGAGAGAATGGAAGAAACGCAGTGCTTCGAAGTGTAAATCCTGGCTGTTGGGCTCGCTTAGCATTCTTTGCTTTGATTTTCTAGAATAACTAGAAATCTGTACTGCTTATAACCTGTATTCATTAACATAAACATTTAAGAGATGTGGAGAGAGAACAAATCTTATTCACTGTCGAGCTACTGTAGTTGAACTTCTACGACACGAATTCATTTTGAAATTTTAGCGAGGACCAGCACATTGCCACGATTAATCAAGTGTGACGGCGCTTGTCATTCGTGGGCTCCTGAAAACTACGTTATTCAGTTTGGGCTATGTGATCACAACATCTGCTTTCGATGCTATCAAAATGAAGAAAGCGTTCCGTTAACATATGATGGTAAGCTGATCGGACGATTTTTAACCACAAAGTATCTTCCCATTAACGAAAAAGAAGCCAGATCGATGGATATTTTCCTAGAGAACTTAGAACGTCGACTTTCACTGTAGGAGTTAGTGAGAAAGGACAAATTTACTCTAGCGATTTCCAAAGAGAGTTTTTGAGTATATTTCGCTATTGTTTATTGCCCCTATATAATTAAACGGTTGGAGAGATTGGCGCCGATCCACCCCTAATGATGCGCCTTGTTTTCGGATTTATGAAGCACGAATTATGGTGATTGAATGCATACTTCACAAATACAATGACGGTTGGGCCCTAATAATGTATTAAGTTAGTGTTATTATTCTCTCATGTATCTGCTCGCCATTTGCTTACCCCGAGGCAATAGAGGACTTGGTTAGCTTGAGGCCAAGCATCGGACAATCGACCATATGCATCACATTTTATAACAACCACGATCGTGTAATTATCTGTAGTCCCTTCAAGAAGTGAATCACACAAGTCGGTGTCGGTGAAATCTTCATTTGTCTTTATCACGCGCCGTGACTCTGCACGATGGTCTACTCTCCCAGAGATGGGACCGACACTGCGCTGGTCGAATTCGTTCAGTAGTAGGCTCGCTGTTATTTTCATTTCACCTTGGTACAGATACGCGTAAATTTTCGGGCCTTCTCGGACAAGGTATGTGGGCTCATTTGATGGAGAGCGCCAAGATAATGTTGCCCATTGCTCGTGTAGCAGGTAATTTAACTAGTTTGGCAGGTAATTCTTCTACTAGATCTTAAGAAATATATCTAGATGTGTTCCCAGGTTGTCACTACAAAACATTGCTGGTACAGGTGATACAACAAGAAGTTTGCACTCTTTAGACTGTTTCTTCAGTGTCGATTCTTGATATGAATTTACTCTCCGCTGCATTCGAATGCAATATGTGAGACTCCCCTGAGAGCTTCGATAATCTTAGTAGCGTATGATGGTATCGTTTTATAAGGCATTTCAACGCTACGGAGGTTCACTTGATGAGAGAGTGAGATGGCAACCATTGTGAAGGAAATGCGATTAATTCACGATTAATGGATGCGCTACAACTCCAAAACTGCTTGAAGCTCGCAAAAGCGTAATATTTATAACTAGGTGTTCGAAATACACCTATACGTGTTCCTCAAAAAAGTCTCCTCTCAAAAGTTTACTTTTGCAAATGTTATATAAATGATAGTGTAGCATGCTTTTAATGCTTTAGGCAGTCATGGTTGCTGCAACAAAAAGTGCGTGAAACGAGCTCGAGCAGAACTGATGATGGAAAAACCCAAGTAAGATAGTATTTAAAAAATTTAGGCGATTTTTAAAAAGTTTATCTAAAGTATTTATGAAGGAGATAGTGTAGTAAAAGTTGTGAAGAAATTAAAAATTTAGAATACCGATACAAATATGTCTCCTTGCTCTCGAAGAAGACATTTGTATAGCACCGGTTAGTATTGCCCCGGAATACACAATTTTTCTTTGGGTTGATCTCGACTTTCTGCCTACCCAAGTTTTCTATACCTCCAGAATCTTCAAATGCTTGACTGGTAGCCTAAGAATACTAGGTTGATACATCAGTAATCAGTTGGAATTCACTGTGTAATCTCAGTATGACGGACTGGGTAATGCAGTGGTAGTGATCCCTGCCATTACGTGGAGGAATCATGTTACCCGCGTCCAATTCCTCCCATATGCACCCAGGTTGTCGTTCTTCCGGGGTCGGAAAGTGTGTGACAGATTTGTTTTATACAATCTGACTTCGTCTTCTGACTCCGTCTAATTCACGTGTAGATGCCCAAACACCGCTATCTCATGATTCCAAGGTGAGGCGACCTCACCGGCATTCAACGACATTTGCGACGAAGACGAGAAATTTCTCAAGCAGCAGTCGAAACAAGACACAGAGATGTTCGAAGACATTCAAGAAGGGTGGATGCGAGGAATTCCAGGAAGTAATGGGATTAGCAGAGTCATCCGATGTCGCCTAGTGTAATTAATAACAATAACAAGAACAATAACAGCAACAGTAATAACAATAACAAATAATAACAACACTTGAATACTTGGATAGCCTGTACTCACTGTTTGTGCGGGCTCCAGCATAGTCTTTTTTTTCGGAGTTTTGCTGGTTCCATAGAGATCTGAGATCATTCAGGACAAAGTCTAACCTTCGCCGTCACCAACACAGGCAGTTGTGGATCAGATCAGAGAGAGATTTGCCACACCGCCACTAGCTTGATGCCAGGACTGTGACGGTTTCTGGTATTAGTTTACTGTTAGCAAAGCATCTTGGTGGAAACTCTGGATTCCTTCCCAACGTGGGACACTGCAAGTGGATGAATCACCCGCTGTACATCGCAACCAAACACTCAGGAACACCTCCCAACATCCACGATGAGGCCGTAAACCATTTGGAGGAATGGTAACGATAGTAATGATAAATAACAATAACAATAAACAATAGCAACACTAATGAAAATAACAACAATAATAGTGGGTCTAATATGCATTCACTTATCTGTGTGCTAAGAATGAAGTCGAACAGCAAGCGCTTCACGTTTTTCAGCAATCTACCGCCTAACTCATAACATATTGTCGAAAGGTTCTTCTTGTCATCTTACTACATGACCCAGGAGCACATTTATCACACTTTGCGAATACCAGCACTTCTTGCATCCAGTTCGTTTCCTAGTACCGAATAAAGGTCCTCGAACTTGAACGCGTGAGTTCGGCTGCGGCTTAAGGACTTTCGTCTTCTGAATGTCGCTGAATGTTGGTCGAGTCGATTCTCCGTAGAATTCTGAGTAAGCAATAACAAAGCGTCTCAAATCGGAATGTAGGGAATGTATAAAGGATAAAGCTTCTGGCGTTGAACAATCCCTGAGAGATGCGCCATGCATTCGACTTCACTAAAAATCGATGGAGGTGATTGAATGAATATCCTTTGGCCTTTACAACGACCCGTGATGGCCTGTCGATGTATCAAGCCAGTACTCCTATCCTCCCAGACAATTCAGGTGCCAATTTGCCGATCCCAGAGGGATGGAAAGCTTGGAGAGCCAGGGGCGCGGGGATCCATCCCGTGTGTATCGCAGGACGCCTCCGACTACTGCGCCACACGCGCCCTTTGTAGGGAATGAGAGGCACCAATTTTTCGACCACAGAGGTATGCCGGCTTGTTTGGCCTCGGGCGGCGTCGAACAATATCATATGTAGGTTGGGCGGTCCGCATAATGAACCCGATCATTGCCACTGCACTTTTCGCTCTCTATTTCCAGGACATATAACGTAGATAGAGAAGGATTATCACAAATTATGACGTATTTGATGTACAGATATTGATTTTTTCCAAAAACAGGTAGTTGCCTAATTATTATTTCAGGGCAAAGCATCGAGAAAAGCAGAATGCAATTGGGGCTAAGAACTACACTACCTTCCCAGAGAAGAAGCATAAATCCGGTACCGCCAAACCGCGGAAGTCCGGCAAAACCCGAAAATACGAATCAGACATGATGATGAAGTTAAAAGCTGTAGATAGTGACATCTCATACTACGGCAAGTATGATGACGCTGGTCTTCAAGAGATAGCGGAGGCGATGATCTTATCTGCAATTGTCGGTGCTGAAAAACATGATTGACAACAATAAATGTGGTAGTGTATGTTAGCAATTTTTAACTTGGAATGATTTGTTATGTGTTGAAATCCAACAAAAATAGGCAATCTCGAAATCATAATGTATAGCCTTTTATTTACTGTCTATTACTTTTTCATGGCCAGCTGTTATTACTCGAAATCACTATGTACAACAGACTACAGCCTCAGCTCAGTACTAGGTTATTAGAGCACATTACTTGGATACGCGGACAGCGCGCCCCACTGGGTGTGCGCGCCCCAGCATAATTTCCATTTTTTGAACTTTTGCTGGTTAGCCGCTCTGTTTCCCTGGAGTCCCGATGTCAGTTTGGCCAAGGTTTGCCTCAAGTAGTCATCACCATAGACAGTTGCAGACCTCGTGAATCAGAGCGAGATTTGCCATCATGCGAGTAGTTTGATATCAAGACGGTGGTGGGATGCCCATAGAAATTTTTGCAGTCAGTCAGATAGATAGATAGTCAAGCAGATACAAATAGTCAACTGCAGTCAAATAGAAAATTTGAACACTATCCTAGTAGCAACGCGACTCACATGACAAAAAATTCTAGCTGAGAAAAACAACTGGAAAGACACTCCTAACACCACCAGCGAAAAAAAGACTTCCGAAGCCGCATTGAATACGAGTTAGTTTAAAACCCTTTCATCGGAAACTTCGTTAGTGCACAAGTTTTTTCTGGCCATTGTGAGCGTAGAATAAATTTTTAAACCGAAAAAAAGTAAAAAAAAATATAAAATAATAAAATAATAATAAATAGATCGGCTTTTACGATAAAACCGATACAATGATAATAGTAAAGAATTCACATAATTGAGAGGGAGTTAAGTCCTCTCCGATAATCTAAAATTGGTTCGACACCTAAACACCTCAAATTACGGCAAATCAGTGGAAACGCAACACTTACCATTTCATGTTGATCTTCACAGACCCTGTCACGTGTAATTAAAACACCTTCCGGATAACCACCGTGTTCTTTCATGAACTCACTTAGTCGTTCATCATATTGATTTTCCGACCTAGATAGGTATAATTCGAGCATTCGGAGATATTCGCTCCGTTGAACGTGAATGGGGCGTGCCAAACCAATCCATTCTTAATAGCATCGTTTTTGTGAGATTTAGTCGAAAACCAATCTTTCCACAGGCTTTATCAAAGTCAGCAAGCATACGTTCTGCTTGGCTAATGTTTGGTGTTATAAGGACGATGTCATCAGCAAAGCGAAGATGGTATAACTGCCGACCATCGATTTTCACTCCTATATTATCACCTCCCAATGTTCACATGACGTTCTAGAGGGTGGCGGTACCTTTCTCCTCTTTTGACGTCATCATTGGTGACACCTTGGTTGTAGAATTTTTGTACAACTCACATAGAATCTTTACGTACTGAGTAGAGACTACATGACTATCAAGGGCTTCCGAGACTGCTCCTATCTCAACTGAATCAAAGGCGTTTTGTAAATCAATAAAAGTGAGACAGAGCGGTCTTTTGTATCCTCGCAATACTTCAATGATCTTTGTTACCGTGTGGATGTGGTCAATCGGACTAAATCCTTTACGAAACCCTGCTTTGCTCATATGGCTGTCCTTCTTCTGGTGTTCTGTCAAACCTGTTTAGGATGACTCGAGTCGAAAGTTTCTAGACGACAGACACCAGGCAGATTGGGCGATAGTTGCCGATATCGTTCAGGTCACCCTTCCTGAACAAAAACACGGTCTTACTGATCTTCCACTGAGTAGGGACCTTGCGTTCAGACAGGTAACGTGTGAAGAGCCGAGCCAGTGTGTTTACGAGAACTGGTGGAAGGTTCTTCTGGTGTACTAGTCGTATCCTGTCCGGACCTGGTGCTGCTAGATTTTTCACCGACTAAATGGCATATCGGATTTCGAAAGGGAGAACCTGTAGTGCAACACATCCATACTCCTTCATTTCATAAAACGGAATGTGGGCGTGGCTATCGAAGAGATTTGCGCAGCATTCGTGAATGATTCTCTCCATTGCCTTTGTGGACGCCGTAAGTGTCCCGTCTGGGCGCCAGAGTGCAATCATCTTGGTCTTGCAATTGGCGAAGCTTCGGTAGCCTTTGCGAATGCTTTTCCCAGTCTCTGCAGCTTCGACCATTACCGCTACTCTTCCGTCTTTAAAATCTTCTTTTATCGCCTCTCTGCATTGTTTTGCAAGCTTGGGCGTTAGTTTGCGGTTGCCTGCAGCTCGTGCGATCCCGCGCTGGCATATTAGCTCGGGTGTTCCGGGAGACAGACGTCTCTTGGTTACTTTCAAACTCTGAGCTTTCATAACGCTAACGTGAAGATGTTGAATGGGCCGATCGTATTCTTCGCCGATGTTATCGACAATGGCACCTTTTTAACAGCTGACTAATGGTTTGAATAAATCTAAGTTTACGGGTTCTGGGACTTCGGTTTTGGAAATTGGCGGCTTTTTCTCCTTTTCGCGACAAATAGAATCTTGCACGAACGAGACGATGGTCTGATAACGCGCAGAATTTTGGGACAGCAGCGGCATTCGTTAGGCAAAACCTTCTATTTACTATGATGTGGTCTGTTTCGCTATGGTACTCTCCATCGGGGACTCCCACGTCCAGCGTTGAGGGTGGGGCTTCTGGAATTGCGAGTTACCATGTATTGTCTTGGTCGCCATGATAAACTCAGACAGCCGCTCGCCCTGTTTGTTCCATTCTAATCCGTGGGTTCCAATGTGACATTTTTCAGACGTGCTTCTTGGTCCAATCCTGGCCTTGAAATCTCCAATAATAACCTTGAAGAACGCGTGGTCTTCTCTGTAGAACTTCTCCAAGGCCACATAGAACGTTTCGACTTCTTCTTCGTCATAGTCTGATGTAGGCGCATAAACGACGAAGATTGTCAAATCCGGAATTGATCTACGTCTTTTTAATCGCAAACGTCCGATTCAGGTTGAAAGTTGTTCGAATAGATCGATGTGTATGGACAAACTCCCGTTGATGACAGCGCCTAGGCCACCGACTCCTCTACTGCACCATGTTCCGAGGAACGGTTCTTCTCCGGTGTCATAGACTGCATTGAAAGGCTTGGGCCTTCTGGTTTAGGCTGGTTTGAGAACAAGTAATCCGACAAGAAATCACATCTGGTGCACGCCCTACAAGCCCACGTTTCGAAATGGATAACGCGTCTGCCTTCGGAGCAGAGGATGGTAGGTTCGAATCCTGCCGTAGTCGAGACTCTTCTTTCCGTTCCGTTTCGTCGCATCGCTTGGCTCGTCAGAGAATTTTCGAAAGCACTATGAGAAAGAGTATTCCAAGGAAAAATCACAAGTGATCGTTTTACAGAGCCTTGTTGCGCTATGGATTTCGCCTCTGCCTATGGAGCTTCGCAAGCAGTATCAGAAAGAGTATTCCGACCAGAAATCACATGTTAACGAATTACGAGTCCTAGTACCGCAATGTATAACGCGTCTTCCTACGAAGCAGACGATTACAGGTTCGAATCCAGCTGTGGTCGATACTATGTTCCACCCCGTTTCCTGCCATTGATTGGCCTCTCAGCGAACCTTCGGAAGCAGTTTCAAAGAGAGTATTCAGACGAATAATCACATGCGAACGATTTACACGACCATGCAGCGCAATGGATATCGCGTCTTCCTACGGAGCAAAAGATTGCAGGTTTGAATCCTGCCGTGGTCGAGACTTTGCTCCAGTCCCGTTTCCTCCCACTGCATGATCTCTCAGTGAATCTTCCAAAGCAGTTTCAGAAAGAGTATTCCGACGAGAAATCACATGCGAACGATTTACACGGCCATGCAGCGCAATGGATGTCACGTCTTCCTACGGAGCAGAAGATTGCAGGTCCGAATCCTACCATGGTGTACGGCTTTGTACCAGCCGAGTTCTCGTCCTAGACGATAGCACTACTGGCTCGATACATCGATAGGCCACCGCGAGTTATTGTAAAGGTTAATTGCCAAAATTTACGTTATCACTGGAAATGAAACAGCGTATCTGGCTGCAAAGTTCTGATCTCGTGGAAGCTCGCTGACTTGCACACCTCTTCATACGTAGTGCAGCCCAATTTGAAGAAAAAAAGTACATAATTGAGTCTTATCTTGGTATAAATGCCTGGGTAATTAAATTATATTTGGAAGAGATACAAATAAATATAGGACCGCTTCCTAACGTAAGCTTAAGGAGTGAATAACGGGCCCTCTGTGCTGAAAAATTTTCGACTATTTTATTTTAGGGAGACTACAATCCACGGATCTCCCTCATATGAGGGATCCTCGAACCGTTTAGTTGCGAGGCTACGTGGCGCGTCCACGGGTGGTGCATAGGAGGTTAATCACGGACCAAAAACGACCTTTTCTTCTCTGAAACGCAGGTGGATCCAGGAAATGGACTCCCTGTTTCTGCTGCTCTGATTTGGCACATACTTTCTGCATTTGCTAGGCATATTCATGCATGCGTGTGTGGGTGCGTTCTGGTTTCTGCGGATTCTGTTCTACAAGTCAGTTAGGCCAGAAGCTTGCAATCAAGTGACAGGAAAGTATATGGGAGGAGGTCAGGAGTCGCTTCCAGCAAATGAGCTCCATGCCCACTCTTGGAAGAGACTGACAAGCTACCCATGAATATACTCAGCGCTCACATTCAGAGCCCATCATGCTATACTTGGGTATCAGAATACTAAAAACAGTAGAAGAAACGGGCTTCATTCTCTTGACCCCGAAAGAGCCCTCTACTTTGGAGCGTTGGGTAAAACGAGCACGTGGAGGCTGCTAAAATTTCAGGGCCAATGGAAACTGCCTGGATTTCAAAGAACTATGGTGACGATCTCTGCCTACAATTCACATACACTTGCATCCTAGTCTTCGATAGAGGACTTGCTCCTGCAAGCAAGATGGATAAAGAACGACGTCGTCGGCCTGGCCGAGACGAGAAGACGTCAGGCTTTCATCGCCCCTTATGACACCGGAAAAAAATTGTTTCTTGGAGCATA